AGAAATTGTAATTTAAAAATTAAAAAAAATTCACTAAAAATGATTTGTCCCATTTCTACTGACTCCCCCCCATATAGTTTATAATATATATTTAAGCGGTTTTTATTTGACAACCCTTCATTTATTTTACAAAACACATGCGCAACAAAACAAGAACAATGTATATTCCTAAATATGTATAAACCAACAATACATGTAATAAGAGAAAACAATTATTTAATAAAAACAATACATTTAATATAAATCAAAGGATATTAAGTAATATAACAAAAATAAGTTGACATTTACTTTTAAGAGTTGCAAACTCGAATTAGAACTTCTATGTCCATATCATTCATTTTATAGGCCCAATTTCTCATATAAAAACATTTTCAGTGTTTGAAAAAATATTTTTAGCACAGCGACTTCTACAAAACATTTAACACTGATATATAATTTTAATTACGAATTAGTTAATTGTTAAAGCATTTGGGATTCTACTAGAAACTATTCAATTTTGTGTTGATTATCGAGGAAGATACTTTTATTTTCTGTCATAAACTATTTATTAAGGAATTTTATATTATTAGAGTTTGAATAAGTATATGTGAATAATTTAGCTAATTTCTCTTGTAGTTCTATAAGAAAAAGAAGAGCTAACAGCTTTTTAATTGTACAAAACGCATCGAATTGTATTTTATTGCTGTGGCGATAGTGCCGATCATGTGACCAGTATTTCGGGGGGCCGTCCTGGATGACTCTTGTTTACACATGTCTTTTTTATATTAATATGTAGAAAAAAAATTAACCAAATCACAATGTTTATCAGTTCAACTATTAGAGTTTTAAATAATAATACCGGATCTATATTATAAAGCATAGGTTTTAATGTAAAATTGGCCTCTGGGCTCGCTTTATTAAAATGGAAAAATTATTAGAGGAAAAAAAGTCAATCCCCTATCGCATACTATGAATAACATCAGATAGAAGCCTGGTGTGTCATATCTAATAATATTTATCAATCATTATCTTAATTACCTAGTGCTTTTGGATAGTGATGCTTCTAACAGATTTTCATTTGATGGAGTGTATTGTTGTGTCTTTTTTGAGATTTCTTGTATCTTTAAGTAATAGTCCATAATCCGGCTCTATAATACCAACGTAAAATTAGATCAATAAATAATTTTGAAAAATCGATTAACTGAACTCTTACTTTAAAAAAATAAGCTTTTCTAACAATTTCTTCTAATACATATAACTGGCTTTTGCTGTTTGGAATCGTAAAATTGGAGAGGATATCAACAATATTCAAACCTCCTTTAACACGATGCATTGTGTAAATTGTTGTCTCACGCTCTAAAGTAGATAATAAAAAAATAATATATATATGAATCTGTAAATCTGTAATAAATACATGATACATTACGTACGGTACACTAATACACTAAAACTTTGAAGGCATTCAAGCTGTTCTTCTGGAGCATTACGATGTAGGTGGTGCTGTCGTTGATAAAAGATTGACAACTGCATCGCTACAAAGATAAAGGATTCTATAAACTTTATTGCTTAGACTTCAAAATACAAATCTTTGATCTTTGGTAGTTGCAAACCCTTTAATAATTTCTCCTTATCTTCACGATATTTTTTAAAATCCACAACCGTCGCATTTCCTACAACTTCTAAAAATCCAATCTCTATTTCATTTGCATTCACGTAAATTTTTAGAATCCCATCATAATTTGAACCAAGCAATATCCGAGGTTTTTGGTCATTTGTCTGATTTTGATATACTTTACGCAATGTGCTCTCTATCTCTCCACTAATAAATATAATGTTTGATAAACCAAAATTATATCGGACACAATTACAATAAATTAAAATGATACATAATACGGGTCTAGTTTCCTTTTAGAGGTGCTCAACATACGTTAGAAACCCAATCTTGTCTTTCATATCGTCAAATGCCTTGGGAATTATGGGATTAACAAATGATTCCCTGTAGGATATCTCTGACAAAGTCGCATCACGAAGTATATTGAAACATGAGGCAAACAAAAACACACTAAGATAAATATGAAAATAATTAATTCCTGTAGTGCATTATATTAAGTAATAAAAACAACTTACAATCTTCGATAAATATCCTGTACTCATAATAGATCATAATGTGTTCCAAAGTCAAACTTGCTCTCGAACGGCTTCTCAAAAATAACTTCTGTTGATAGTGTCTGAATTTCGTCATCAAAAGCTGACTTAATTTCAATAGCAGATGCATACTTGTCAACTAGTGGCTTAATGCTCTTTTCCCATCTTGATTTTCGCACTGTATTTGACTTTTCTTCAGTTGATGGTTCCATCTAAAAGAAGGTATAAGGTTTATTAATAAATGGAACTTAAAGCCAATGGCTTATAATTAGGGTTGCTGGTGCAGATGGTGTCGCCATTTGCGCAATGCTTTACCATATCGTCGCGAAATAACGGCCCGGGCCATTATTTCACGACGATATGGTAAAGCATTGCGCAAATGGCACAGCAGTGGTGCACCACTTGCATTACCAACCTTACTTATAATGCATACATCTTTTCAGAATTTCCTCATTCTTTTTCTATTATCATCTGAAAATACATTATTTACTGGGTCTACGAGATTTTTTTCGGAGAGGTTGACAATTCTGTATTCAAAAAGACAATGGTTCACATTTTCCATTTTTGAGATAAGGTGTTGAACTTCGATTGATGGATTCTCATTCACAGATAAATCATCAAAACAATCACTGTCATCTTCAAGACTGCCAGATTGAACCTGTGAAGAGTTATATGGAGAAAAAGCGTGAATTCCAAAAAAGCCAATAGAAGCATTATTGCCTAGTTGTGGAGGTAGTGGTGGAGGTGTGACAACATTTGAAGAGGGACGAGAAAGGGGAATGTAGTCACGAAATTGAAGCACCATTTTCGTCCGTTTGGCATGTTTTTGATCTTGATTCTTCTCAATCTAAAAAATAAAAATACAAAATAATTAGTTTTATAACTCAATTACTATCTAAAAATACTTATCAGTACCTCTTCATGATCCCTCTTTGCAGTAATCCCATTTATATTAATGCTGTTAGTAATCCCACTTATATTAACGTTGTTAGTTTCACCACTTGTGAATGTTGGCTGATGAAAATGGATCTGCTTGTTTGTGCGTTCATTATTCCACTTTCTTGCGAGTTTATAATTGGGTTGGGTACCCTGGCAATGGAAGACTCAAGGAATTAGCAATATTCTCACTAAATAAGTATATTCATTCAATCCTAATCCATCCATCCCATCTGAACAATCAGCCAAACTTGTAGATTGCCTGTGTCGATGGGTCCAACGCTGGCTCAGCTTGTAGACTTGAAACATCAAGCAAACTAATTGATTACCTGTGTCTCAACGTTGGCTTGTGGCTCGACTAATTGACTTGAATGTCATAGAAACTAGTTGATTCAATGCTATGCCACTTCTTCACATCTATACTTCCAACAAAAAAAAAGTTTACTTACGCTTTTATATTTATCAAAAAGAAACTGTGCTGTTTTCTTCCTTTTTCCTTCCTCACATTTAATAATATTTTCAAGACTTCTTAGGTATAAATCTATTTTTAGCTGGAATGATTCTTCGTTACTTTGGTTTAGAAAGTTTATTATATTCCATTCAGTATGCGCTCGTTTAAAAAATATGTGTATAGTCATTATATTCCAAGACGATTATAAATTGCGAGTGTTAAGTCTGAAAGAAGAAATTTTTGGAGAAATCAATTACGCGATTATATATCATTAGTACGTGATTATACATCATTATCAATCGTTAGCACTTTGTGTAACTGTTGATTGCTTTTCTTGAGGGACGTCTAAAGCGAAGATAAATGATATAATAATTAGTATTGATTGAATTAACTTTAGGGTTAGGGCCATCTTAGGTTAGGGGTTAGGTTA